ACCACATCTTCTTTATCCATTCATCTGTCGATGGACATCTTGGCTCTTTCCACAGTTTGGCTATTGTGGACATTGCTGCTATAAACATCAGGATGCACATACCCCTTCGGATCCCTACATTTGTATCTTTGGGGTAAATACCCAGTAGTGCAAGCAAATTCAGGACTTTTAAAAAGTATTACTAAGAGGTGGGACAGATTGACTTGATAGGTTTTTGGCGGGGGGGGCAGCAAAGCAAGGTTTATTGAGCGACAGCAGAATGATAGCATAAAGCTCCCAAGGAGGGAGGGGACCCAAGAGGGTTGCCCTTGATAGTTTTAAGGACATTTATAAAACTATTTGTGGTGTGATCCAGTTAACTTGGCCAATACTCTTTAAGTATATTTGAAATTCCTCGGGAGTTGTCTTTTAAATTTAATAATGCTTTATGTGGTAGGATTTTATTTACATGATTTTGACCTTACAAAAATTCACATTACATTGCAGGAAACATGACTATGTACAATAAAAACCCTGATATTTTAGTCTGTAATGCCAATCTCTGTCATAAGTCTATGAAGAGTCTATTGTGTTAGCTACAAATCCTTATAACAATCCTAAAAGCAGAGACTTCCATTTACCCACTGTTGGTCCTATGCCTTTAGAACTTTCAAGATCATGATGAATGCTTTGCAGACCCCCTACTGGGTCATTTCTGTGTGTGAGCAAAGTAAGAGCGATTTTGGTGTTGTATATAGTGTCCTTTTCTATTCAGGTTTAAAAGGACTTTTTGATAACATCTGTTATTTAAACTCTTCTTTTTTGCCTGTAGCTTTTTGGTAATGCTGGGTCATGCACTTTATTAGTCATTTGGCTTAAGTACCTATTAAATTATATAGCACAAAGCTATTAGTTATTGATTTAAAAATTTACATAATAAAACATAAGTAAATATGGGATTTTACTTCCATGGAAAACCAAATAAACTCAGTAAACAGGTCATAGACCATTAGTGTTGATTCTCTTAAACTGCTGCTTAGTAATGAGAGACCTTCTCATATTACCTCTTTTGGCTTACTGGAAATGTTTTTAAGCATATTACATACATACATTAGCATATTACATTAATAACTTCGTAATTCCCAGGGAACATTGCTGGGTTTCTCTCAATGTACATTTATTCCTTTATCAACATTTATTCAGCACTCATTTTGTGCAAGAAACTTGCCAGGTGTTGGGTAGATAGTGGTGAACAAAATAGACATGGTTTGTTTCCTTCATGGAACTGACAAACTAGTGGTTAATCCAGGTCTGGTGGGATTTTTTTGCATTTATGTGACTGGTAAATATCTGGTCTTGTTCTTTTTTTCCCACTGTATGAAGAGTCAGGTGAACCCAAATTCTGCACTTTCTCTTCAAGGACTCCTCCTTGGCTGTAATTTTGACCCAGGGGAAGTCAGACTAAAATGAAAATCACACCCATTCCTGAAGGAGGAAAAAAGTTTTAAAGCATGAAGTTTTAGAGTGGTGTGTGGAGAGAGTCATGGGAATTTTTTTAGTTGAATGTATGTGTGAATGTGTGTCAGTTTCCTGCCTCTGAAATACCAATTTCCCAGCAAGGTCTACAAGTCTGGCCTATGTTGGAGGGGAGTGTTACTACTGAAGAGTAGGGATGGCAGTCTGGGACCAGTTGGGTATCTTTGAGTGGCAGAAACCTGTCAATACCCAGAAGATTAAAAATGTTGCTTTAGGGACATTTGTTGGTTGACAATTTATGATGAAAAGCTACAGGATGTCTGTGTTTAATGGTCCATTAGGGGGTGCATGATTTAGCCTATTTTGAAACCGAATGTATTGAGCTGTTATGATACATATGTGTAATATATTTTAACATACAATTATATAATTGTGTATAATATATGACACATGATAATGTATAATATATGCATATAATATGTATCCAAATGTATAATATGTAACATGTATCTTATATAATATTAAACATACTGATTTAAGACAGTGAAAACTTAGGTCTATTCATTAGTTGTTTCTCAACATTGATCTTCAAAGCAGCATAGTTTATAATGAAGATTTTATATTTGGAGTAAAATGAGGAACAGCCGACCAAAAGACATGCGGCAATTGCTTCCTAAAGCCAAATTTATTCTGAAAGTGTTTTGCCTATTTGTTCTGTTCTAAAGAGACAGTGACAGCAGATGACCTTTTTTTTTTTTAAGTATTCTTACTTGGCAAATTGTTGGCAAGCTTACGTGGGACATGCAGGTGCTTTGCTTTATTTTTCAGTATTCCTGCTTATTGACATCCAGATGTCTGGGAACCGCTGCTGTAGATTAAATCTAGCAAATTCTCAGTATGCAGTTGTCCATCCTGGGATATGGCTTCTTTGCGGTTTCTCATGCTAGCTCTTTCTCCATCTGTGAGATTTATGCCCAAGTGTTGATGATGCATCATTATCAAGAAGGGTTCTCTTCCTTGCCACAGCCTTAAGTTGGCTTTTGATCCTTCTGCAGCAGAAATGGAAATGCCTCACTTAGTGTTAAGTGCACCTTCATTGTTCCATGTGCTGAGGTCAGGAGGCAAGCACCTAAAAAGTCTCTCCATATAAAGGCTGCTTTTTAGATGTTTTATTAGTACTGCTGTTGGTTATTTTAATTAGTAGTATGTTTTATGTGCGCCCTGAGGCTGTTCAAGCAGAGAGTGTGATTCAAATAAACAAAATAATATCTGATGTTTTGGAACACCCACACCTGCCATCTGGGCCTTTACTTTTAAGGAATACTTACTTAGGTTGGCAGGGAAGCTAGGAAGAGAAAAAGGAGATGATTATGTAGCATTATGAAAGGTTTTAAATGTAAATTCTTGGAAAGCTTGATAACCAAGTTTTTAGCTTGGTAATGCCATTTTCTTCATAGGCAGTGGTTCCTTTTTTAAAGATAAATACTGAGTTTTCAGGAGAAGACCTATCTTTTCCATTGTTTTGCACGTTGCTCATGTCTTTTACCTGTCTTTCTAACCGTATTTTCAGGGTCCTGTGAGTACCTTAGAGATAATTTGACTGTAAAATGGTGGATGATGCTTTCACAATGCAAGAAAGTTTGCTAGGATAATTTCTCCAGTTTTTTGTTTTGTTTTGTTTTTTGTTTTAACTTGGATATAAAGTAAAGGGGCCACCTCTCCAAGTTTTTACAATGAAATCGTAAACTAGTCTCTGACTTTTTTTTTTTCTCTTTTCAACTTGGCTTTTTTTTTTGAGTTAACACAAATACTCTCTTTTCTGTTTGCAAACTGAAGTGAACTATATGCTTTTGACTTAATTTTGAGAGCTGAAATTGTGTTGATTTTGGATGCCTTTGCTGGATTTTCCCGCCATTCCCTCTTTCATTAGGTACAGTCCTTTTTGGAGTTTGCCAAAGATGAGGCAAAACTTGTGTAAGAGGTGCACCTGAGCTTTTACGTGGTTTTTTTTTTTTCCACCTAAACACGGCACTTATAAAATGTTTGTCATAAAGCTGGAAAAAATTATGGAGTTTTTTTTTCCTCCCTTAGAGACAGAACCTGAGCCACACTAAATTAGTAAATGTTCTACCTGACTGACATTCTCTAAGAAAAAGAAATACATCCATTTAGGTCACTAACTTATTTTTTAAAAATATATTTAACATATATTTAATTATTAAAATATATTTAAACATTTTATAACATTTAAAAAAATCTATTTTTAAAATGAGGGCTCCTGCCACTTTTTGAAACTTTTTTATGCCTCAAAAATAGTTTTAAATGCTCTTGTTTGTACGTAATCCAAGAGTTAAAGATGTCAGAGACTTAGGAAATGAGATCATGGTGTCTCTATTGTCTTATTCTACTTTATCACCCCCGCCCTTCTTTTTTTCCCCAGTTACCTTAAATATAAGTACACAGTACATTTTCTTTGTGTAAATGAATGGGAAACTGCTTTTTTGTGTTTTTAGGCTGCAGATTCCAACTGCACTCACAATCTGGCTTAGGAAGTGGGTCTAATGAAATTTTAGAATATTAAGCTAAGGATACAACCCACAGCACTCTTTTTTTTTTTTCCCCAGAGATTTTATTTATTTATTTGACAGGGAGAGAGAGGGAGAGAGCACAAGCAGGGGGAGCGGCAGAAGGAGAGGGAGAAGCAGGCTCCCCACTGAGCAGGGAGCCTGATGTGGGACTCAATCTCAGGACCCTGGGATCATGATCTGAGCTGAAGGCAGACACTTAACTGACTGAGCCACCCAGGCGCCCCACCCCACAGCACTCTTAAAATTCCAAGACCCACATTAATTATGTCATTATATAAAGAATGAAACTGTAATGCTCCTGTAAATCTCACCAAAAAACCAAAACAAGACACAAACCTCCTCATGTTGTTCATAGAAGCCAATGATGACAGGTCTTTCCAAGAAGAGTCCGGCTATGAGGGTATATAGATGTAGCAACATATAAAATGTATTCTACAGATGGAAGGTATGACTAGTGTTGTATACATAGGAAACGTTGAGTATAGTGTAATCTAAAAAATTTTAAGAAATATGCCAGAACTTATATATCTAAGTCAGAGTCTGTAAGCTGTGTATTCAATCTCACATTGCTGTTACTGTGCCAAGAAATTTGGAGCTCTTTGAGAATTATCTTTACTGGTTATAGCACTGTAAGAAAATTCTTGGTGTTCTTAATTTGTTGGGAAATAGCCATTAATGAATAAATTGGTTGATAATGTTGGAGTTAAGACACTGTAGTGTTGGGGCACCTGGGTGGCTCAGTTGGTTAAGCATGTGGCTCAGTCGGTTAAGCGTCTGCCTTCGGCTCAGGTCATGATCTCAGGGTCCTGGGATCGAGCCCCACGTTGGGCTCCCTGCTCAGAGGGGAGTCTGCATCTCCCTTCACCCCTGCTTGTGTTCTCTCTCTCTCTCTTACAAATAAATAAATTTTAAAAATCTTAAAAAAAGCCACTGTGGTGTTAAAAATCAGTTGTAATCATAACATAATAAGAATGATTTTTATACCTGGTTTATACATTCATAGTGAAAATAAAGGATTTTCAGAGAAGTTATGCACAGAGGAGTTATCAGTGGAATAAGTTTTTGTGTCTTCCAAGTTGGGCCAGTCTGCCCTTGTGTTTTCCCAGTAGTGTATCTAGTGTGTGTGTGCGTGTGTGTGTGTGCGTGTGTCCTGTGTGTCATTGTGTCCTTGAATGGTCTTGACCATCCTGTTTACTGTTGCCTCACGTAATGTCAAAAAGCAGTCCCACTGTTGTTTGCTACATATGCAGCCTAGCGGAGTTGTTCCTGCAGGCTTTGCTTCATTTCTGGGAGACAGGCAGGACCTAATGCTAAAGCCGCTTCTTCAGCTCTCTCAGTTGGATTAAAATGACCTGTGATATTGTGCTGTGTTTGCAAAGATACCGTGATCTTAATTGATTTTTCTATTTTCTAGTTCATCGGGGCATTGTATCTTGATCATTTCTTTGAGTCTAACTGCCTAACAAAAGTGTTCTGGGTTGTAGATTTTCTTCCTGCAGGCCAGTGTGTATTTTTACATATCTAGAGACTTAACAGTCCATTTGAGGTGATTAGGTACTGACTACATAGTAATCTGTGATGGACTTGTATGTCCATTTATGAATGTGCTTGAAGCATCCCATGATAGAGGCACGGCCACTCTTCCATGGCACTAGGACAGCTGAGATGAAGCTGTGTCCTACCTAACTCCCATCACCAGTTGAACCAAGCAGGGACACCTAAGAAATCAAGACTCCTTCAGTGATTTTATGCAGCCATGGTTAAAGGTGGAATGA